CGAGTGAAGAGGAATCGGGAGTGGATGTAGATCACAACAACCGAACTACTATAAATCTAGTTTGTATTTACTTTAAGATTTTTATTTTTATTGCAAACTGATTTCTTACTTTTATTATGTTTACAAACGTGTTTTCAAATTAACATCTTTCCGATATAGTTTTCATTAAACAAGAATTTTCAAACTATCGTTTTTACGAAAGCACTAATTCACCCCCTCCTCTTAGTGTCGACACGGTCCTAACCGTTGGATGGAGATCCATTACCCAATATGGCAAGATCCATTAGAGTCATGTTAACATGGAGCCTCTATAAATAAAAGAAAACCAAAGGTTCATAGCTATATCTTCTCTTGGTTGTCGTCTCCTATTCTCCTCTCCCCTTCTCCTCCTCAAATAGCAAGCCTAGAGATTTGAGGAGCGTTATCATAGCCCTAATATGTGGATCACCGCTAGAGAGGAGGACACTTGATCTCCTCTACCCTCTCCTACATATCTGTAGGGATTCAGGGATATACGACCTCCCTAGATAATATAATTCATATACGTAGTTTTCAATTTTACAGATTTTGCACACCAATCTTTACACAATGACGAACACAATTTATGAGAAATTTAAGGATTTTGTTTTATATTCTTTCGTTGCACATGTGATGTTGCCTCAGAATTCCTTACATCTTAAATGGACCAAACTGAGGAGAAAAAGAATTAAGAATGAACTACACGAGGAAAGACTCATCAACATTTATGCTTAATATTTTATATTTTGAAACTTTGTCAGACATGTTGAGGATATGATTTTGAATCCCTCGAGTGTCATCATACTGAGTTATAGTCTGTTCTTTCATTAATATATCAACCAGTGACTTATTAGTAGATTAAAATCTATCTTCAATAGCCTTTAAATATTCTCATGCACTAGTTATAGTCGGTAATGAAGTCTTTATTTTATTTACAATCGTCATTTTTACAAACATTAAACTAAGTCTATTAGATCTTTCTGAAGCATTCATTTTATTAACTTATTCCATAATACTTTCATCAGCCAAGTCCATGGGTCTTTCAACAAGTAATACTAAGTCAAAATCTAATACGCCCAATGTGAATTACACATACTCTAGTAATTCTGAATAATTTGATCTAGAGAGTATAGAGACACTAAAAACATAAGAATGTAAGGAAAGAAGTACTACTACAAAATATGAAACAATATTAATGCTTTGAGTTTCTAAAATATAATGAGCTATTAATATCATCCATATTTTATCTTTGGACGAAATATTGAAATATTTAATATTCACTCACGATTATCTATAGAGGACTAATATCATTCTTATGGAATAATATTATTACCTTTGGGTATACAACCCTAAATTACAAGGACATCTAAAACAATATCATCCTACCCTATCACATAACTATTTAAGATAAATTCTCTTTTAGAATTATCTAAATCTTCTAATTATGTATGTCATTATGAATATTATTTCCTTGATGAATTCAGAACTAATTCCGTGATTTTATAAGTTATTAGTCTAGGTCACTTTAGTAGCTACAAGACTAATACAATAATATAAAACATGGTTTAAAATATCCTATAAATAATAAGATCTTTATTATAATTTACATCCCATAAGTCTATCATTCCAACCACTTTGGTAGTTACCAACTAGATAAAACTTAGGAAGACAAGTTACAAATAATATTTATCAAATATTTTCAATCTAATTTATGTTGAAATGGTTAAATAATAAAATAATATCCATATTAATTATTGAACATTAATCATACAAAAAAAAACTCATATGATAACTATAATATGATGAAATATAAATCATACATTCATATGAAAGATAAATATTATTTCATAATTTTAAATATATATATGTGAATAATCAAATAAATATCTTAGAACAATAATTAGATTTTATTTACCACATACAAAATGTAATCAATAGGTCAAATAAGAAACCTATAATTTATATTTTTTTAATTTTTACATAAAATATTAAATTAAATCAATCAATTTTATTTAATTAGGTAAGCCGAAAATCAGGCTAAACATTAACCTAATTAAGCAAGTCAAAAATAAAAATTGATTAAGGTCAAGATGGATCAAAATTTTAATTTTTGCTGTATTTGATCATAACTAAATCCAATCAAATCATCAAAATATAATCATGATCAGATTCAATCATAATTAAAATAAATTATATTAATTAGTTTTATAATTAAGGATATAAATTAGAATTCTCAATTTCATAATGATAAAACTATAATTTTGTTAACAGGATATAAGGTGTAATTATAACATTTATAAAGGGCAAAACTATCAAAATGATTAAAATAGAAATAATAAAAGCCATAAAGGTATAACTATAATTTGATTAAAAAAACCTAAATCTCAAAAGAGGGTAAAACTATAATTTGCCTTTGCCCATGAGCTATCACTTGTGTGTGGCTACTACCTATATGCAATCTATGCTACTGCATGACAATCGCTATACGATCATCGCATGTGTGTTACTGCCTATGCGACTACTGCATGCGCATGGGTATTGCAATACGTGATTATTATCTATGTAACTAGCCCAATGCTCAACCCAGGCTGTCGCTAGTGTGGTTGCCACGATGCATGATCAATCACGGCACACAACTCACCTCCTAGCAACCACTAGAGGTTGATGTTGTTACTACGATGCGCACATTGCTCGACATAATCATCTATCGCAATTAGTGTAGTTGCAATGCTGCACAACCGTTGCCACCATGCGATCATGGAATATTGCGAAACAAAAAGTAATTCTGATGTCACTCGTAAGCAGGCGACAATACATATTAGATAGAAATTTAGATCGATAATATACATGGATCTTTCATACATCGTAAATTAGAAAACAATATATCTAAGTTATTTAATATCAAGAATTAGACTCTAATACCAATTGTAAGTATAAAATCTATAATATATTATATGTAATACGAAAAAACTTTCGTGCGAGGATTCAAATCAAATAATAATACATTAGATTTAGGACGTATGCCTTTCAATGCCATCTAGAGAGAACTTTATCAGATTTACAAAGACATCATTTTTAGATCCAAAAACCATTCTAGATCTACAAGGAGAACCAAATTTTCCTTCTCTCTTTCTATCTTTTCACAAGATCACTTAGATTGATGTATTAGAGATGAGAAAAATGGAAGAGAAATCATAATCTCTCTTTCAATCTCATGTTCGCGTCTACATCCGTCATATCTCATACTGTGTAATCATACATAATATCATGTTTAGATTCTTGAAAGTTTTATCTATATATAGACAAGAGCATAAGATCTAGTTTAAATAAATATAAAAATTTATCATATATTCTAAGAATCTTATCTAATATAAATTAAATAAATAAGACTAACACCTTTTATCTCTCCTTCGCTTAAATCAGCACGTGATGTTCCACGGAGCTGAAGTTGTGAGGAGATGGCGATAGATAGGGGCGTCGCAAACCGTATCGCCTAGTGAGATGACTCCTGGCGTAGAGTGTACGTACCATGTGCATTCATGACATTGAGCATGTGGTGGGTTTCCCCTTCGACGATCCTCTCAGATGAACCACAAACAACAGCGCCCCCCGTCATCTTCTTCGAAGTCGCAAAGGAAGTGGGAATCCGTGGTCAAGTTTCTTCTTCTGCAAATCCAGAGTCAATCTCCTCGTCTCCTGAGGACGAGCAGTAACTCTGAGCGATGGGTGGGACGTGTCTTCCATCGAAACGAAGGGATGGAACCTACAGTAACTAGACCCGTAAGACTCCTCCAAGTTTTGGTGAAAGTACTTCGAGTTCTTCACTTCATGTGACTGTTCTCTCTTCTGTACTGCAACTACACTTTTGTCGCAGAGGCAACATTTACTTGATGATTAACCGAGGCGGTTGGTGTTCGGGACCATGTCGTAGATCCAAGTATCCGATGCAGCGCCACCAACCAGCTTCCACCACCCACTCTTCCACGTTGAAGGTTCGTTCCACCACCTCCTCCTCCTCCATCATCAGGACGCAACATCCAAACTTTGGTGGAAACGAATACCTATTTCACGAGGAAGGAAGGCTGTGGTGTTCCTTCACAATTCTTCCCACGATCTTCCATTGAAGACCTCCTGCGAGGAAGAATCGAGCTCTGCACAACAGCTCCTGCTGGGGAGTTCATGGTACCGAGAATCCGAGTTAATACCTCAGCATGTGGTTCTTGGATCAGTCAAAGATCTTGCGATGGCTCGAGCGACCTCAGCAAATGCAGAACTCAATGATGCATGGGTGTGTCGGATGCTTGAGGAAGAAGGCTGCCACCCTTTCGGAGATCACATAATAACTAGTCTGCTCTTCAGGAGGATGGAATTCCAACCTCACTCCGGAGGAGGAGACAGCTGTTTCTATTTAATGGATTTATTTCTCGAGGGGAGTAAACCCCTCCATATTCCATGCGATGAGACATACATAATATATATATAGTAATTACTTTGTCGAGTCGAAAAAAAAGGAGTACCAGATAGTAGATTAATGGCTTCATATCCTGGCCTTCAATCGTCTTAATGGCGGATTAGGATGGCCATGAAGAAATGGCATCCTATGCCTGTGATTACCTCAGGCGTGCATCGGCTGTCTCACGGTGGGTCCCGAGAGGCTCTTCCCTGTGATCACCTCAGGCGTACATCGGCTGTCTCACGGTGGGTCCCGAGAGGCTCTTCCCTGTGATTACCTCAGGCGTACATCGGCTGTCTCACAGTGCGTGTTGCCCGTCTCGGGGCTCGTCGTTGAGGGATGGGGCGCATAAGACGCGATGAATTAGCGGGACGCACCCGACAAGAAGGGCCACTGAGGAGGGGCTCATGCAGGCCCCACGCATGTGGGTCAACATGCACATGAAGCAGCTCAGCTACGGGTTAGAAATGCCAAGTCGTTTTGACTCCCCGCGGCGCCCCCCCTCCCCCACACCAACCCATTCGTTGTTTGGGCTTCTTACGTTAACGTCTTCGAGGCTTTCCCCTTCCCTTCCTTCCTCGGCCCTTTGCGTCGCTCCCTCTCCCGCTTCAATGACTATTTAACTTCGTCTCCACCGCTTCTCCACCCTCCTTTCGCATCGAACTATGGGCTTCGAGTTCGACGTCTATGAATTGCCAACCCTGGCGCCCATCCGGACCACCGGGAACGACGACCCGCTCAAGTCTACCAGCACCGAAGACGTGGAGTGCATTACGCCCAAGTCAGAAGAGCCCGTACGGGCACTGGTGTGCCCGCCGGCGCCGTGGAAGCCGCGGCCGGCTAAGAGGCGGCTCGCGCCTCCTCCCAGGGGTTACTACCCGGTCCCCAGCGACCTCCTCTCCGTCTTCGTCCCGCTGCCGTGCCCCCCAAGCAAGAAAATTCGAGTAGGTTGATGGAGCTCTCCCACAGATCGTGTAATTTCCTTGTGCCCACGGCCATGAAAACAGCTTCCTTTTTCTCTTCTTTTGTCTGAGAATAATACAATAATTGCTTAGAATTACAGCGATTTGTGTCTTCTGAGACTGCGACGATGGCATATTGTTGTTATATACATTTATGCCTCCGTTTCTTCTCTCTCATATGTTCCCTTCTCTTTTCCTTGGCTTTCAGTGATCTGAAACTGTGCTTTCCTTCTTTCGGTAGATTTGCATAAGGAAGTAAATGTCCTTTTTATCGAGAATTATACCTCTCTTTAGATTAATATTGTATTGTCCTGTTTTTTTGATCATCTTCCACATAGAGAGATACGAGAGAGAGAGAGAGAGAGAGAGAGAGAGTCTATGGAGGAATATAATATTCTTACATGTAATTCTTTTGCAGGAGAAACACATGCTGCCAAAAGTGCTCAAGGTATTACCCATCACCTTCATTAATTAACCAAAAACAGCCGCTCATCAGATGCCTATCAACCCTAATATATTAATGTGCCTACATTCTTTTGAGAAGATGTGAATTCTAAGTTGAATATCTTGTTTTTTATAATGTGTATAATCATTCATTTTCTAGATCTGAGGGATAATGCATTAATGCGTTGCTTAAAGGGGTTGTCATATATGATTGGCATCATGATAATCCAAAGCTACAGCTCAACTCATTACTACTCTTAGCTTTCGTAGTAACATCATTCCACGCTTTTCAGCTTTTGTTTCTCTTTGCCCATAAGATCATGATGAGTCCATGATCAGGTCGGCTCAAGTAGGACCTCCTTAAACTTCTACTTCACTGTCAGCAACATGGAAAATTATTCCTGCCGAGAAATAAAAATAAAAATAAATAAAAGAGTAGAAGAGGACAAAAATCTCTCTGGTAATCTCCAGTGCATACGATTCTCCAACACTTTGATTATATTTACTTGTGGAGCTGATAAGACAGAATCAATTCCTCATGATGAACTGTTTTGGGTGATCTATTCGGCTGTAAATTGTATGTAGCCTCAGATGCCATGACGATGGCAGTGAAGAGGATGGAAACCCATACATAGGAGCTAATTAATCTCACCAAGAACGGTGGACATACGATAATAATTGTGGCAGGAAGAGACTTGTCCTGCAGTGATGGACTTCAATGGGAGGCAACCATGGTGCTCACAGAATAACAAGCTCTCAGTTGTTCCCTTCTACGTAATGGCGATGCTTGTTATGGTGCCAAATGCACCATAATAGACTGCCGGGAAGCTTAATGTGCTGACTTAATTCCAAATGTTCGACGAAATGCCTCGTAACTCGTCAAAAAAAAATAGAGCTTTCAGTGCCTTCTTCCTCATTAAATCTGCCAAGGAAAACTGCCTCACTCCGCTCATTACTTCCTGCCTCTGTATAAAACCTGACCCAAATCTACCAGGCAACGGAAAGAGCTTCTCAGCAAAACTAGCCTTGCACTTGCAGTACGTGGCGGTGGTAAAAACTCACCCGTCCAAGTCCATCTCCTCTTCCCTCACCATCCGAAAGAAGAAGAGGAGGAGGAAGGTATCAGCGGCAAGGAAGGAAGCAGCAGCTGCAGCAGTAAGAAACTAGTTGGCACAAGGAAGAAGCTCAAGCTCACCGAGCACAAGTAACGCTGCTTGAGGACAGCTTCAGAGAGCACAACACCCATGTGCTGCGGTCTTCGTGTTTAGTTAACCACGTTTGAAACTGTATGTGGATTCAGTTTGCAGACCGAGAAGCAAGATCTGGCCGGCCGGCTAAATATACTGCCACGGCAAGTGGAACTCTGGTCCCAGAACTCGATGATCGTCGAGAGGTTCTTGCTTGTGAGATGGATATCCGTTGCATCCGTGACTACTCTGCATGGATGCAGGACGAAGTTGACGCAGATCGAGGTGGAGTATTGAGTGCCTCAAGAGGTGTTGTGAGAGCCTACGAGTGATGAGAACCAGAGGCTAAAGGTGTGCGAAACCGGGAGGGCGGCTCTACGTGCAGCTTCTGAAGGCAGCAACGCTGACCATGTGCCCTTTCTGCGAGCGGATGGTGGCGGCCACCGGCGGCGGCGGTGCCAGGAAGAGCAAGAGTGGCGCCTCGGACGGCATGAGTGGCCGCCGGTTGGCGCCTGCGAACACTCCGCTGATCCGTCTACAGAACTATGTCATTCGATTGCTGAGTAATTTGGGTTAGGAGGTAGATAGATGAAGGAGGTGACGGCTTGATCCATGATTCCTCCTTTGAGCATCGAAACGGGCGTAGTCAGCACTGCCACGATCACATGGATGGATAGCATATAGCGAGCAATATGTTACATTATGCTACATTATGTTTATGCTACCATCCATGTGAAACAAAGATATTCCAATACCTATAAAAAGAGAATCAAAGTTTCTGCTACATTATGTTTATGTATATATTATCCTGTTCTATGATTTATCAGATTATCCTATACCATATTATATTAGGTTGTGTCACATTAAACTAGCATCCTATGACAACAAGCATTCATTAGAAAGAAAAATTAAAATTATAAACATAATATCATACTACAAATATAATTGTGGTGGCTTAAGGCACAGTAACAAAGAGTAGAAGACGGTAGATATATTAATAGCACTTATTTATAGGAACATAAGGAAGATAAGTATAAGCTTTTTCTAAAAAATAAAACGACCAAGTTGTATGATATTTCAGTCACTCACCTGCTTATCCATTTTGAATTAATTGAGAGCGGATGAAGTAATGTCAAACTTTGATATATTTAGTGCACCTGTGAAAGATAAGCTTTTTTATCACTGTAATAATAGACTTATTGTCACATTATATTTTAATTTGTCCACCTTGTTTTTCTTAAAAAATCTATTAAAATTTTTTAGATCCAAATTGTTTGACATGTTATGCTTGTACTCACTATATATTATGTCTCAAAATTTGATAGAGTAACACATTTTTTTTTTTATCATCCATGAAATTATCCCTAAGCCAAGTCTGCATATAAACCTTTTATTTTTTTTAATCATATGTACAACCAACCCGATTATTATCTGTATAAGAATATAACTTAAATTTTCTACCTACTGATAACGAACATCATATCTAATAACTCTTTAGTTGCTCTAAAATAATACTTACAAGGGTTGTACCAAGAAACTAGCTATAAACATAATATCAAACCTTTAATATGTGAGATAAATTATTCAATTAAACTTCTATGCTGCTTGCAACATCTATTTTTTTAGTTCCATCATCTAACATTAGCTTATTATTTATATTCATTAGAGTACATATTGACTTATAGTTGTCATATAAAATATTTTAACAAATCTCTAACGTATTTTTCTTAGCATAAAAATAATTCATTTGCATCTTGAACAATTTTCTTTCCCATAAAATAGTATAAAATCCATAAATCAATCATTTTGAATTCTAATATCATTTTTTCTTAAATTCATCAAGCATACTTATCAAATTTTGAATATAAATCATATCATTATACAAAAAGAGAATAAAAATTTTCATTCTTTGAACTTTTATATATAAAGTTGTTTCACGTTAACTTTATTGAAATTTATGTTACCAAAGTAGTTATCCATTCTATTGTACTATGCCCTTGATACAATTTCTCTAACTTGTAGACTTTATTTTCATACCTTTTAATTTTAAATTTTTTAAGTTACTTAACTCAAACCTCCTCTTGTATTTTTTTATTTTAAATACTTATTAATGTCAAATTGATAAACCTATTATTTTTTTGGAATTGTCGAACACTGTTCTAATTGTATTAGTTCTTAGAACTAGAGAAAAGTTTCTGAAAAATCAAAACATATAATTTGATAATACTCTCTGCCAACTAAAGGGGATTTTATGTTTTTGTAGTGAATCATTCACGTTAAATCTTTACATGTAGATCTACTTAAGTCCAATTATTTATTTTAATAGAGGGCAAATTTATCAGCTTTAAAGTTTGTTTTTTTTCAATAGTTTGTGGTTTGTCATTTATTGTTTACACTAATTTTTATTTTGGAGTTGTAGCTTCAAAACAAGTAGGTTTTAAAGCAAAACATGTAAGATCATTATATTGATATATTTTTATAAGACTAAAAAATTTTCTCAGAGATATTTCAGAATCACTTGTATGGATATCATAATCAATTAAATTACGAGGAGATTTAGATGGGATATTCACAATAGAAAATGTATCATGTGCTTTATTAACATTTTCTTCTCCTATGACTATAGGAATTTCAACTATATTAAAATTTCAAATATTTTCTCATTGAAAATAATACCATAACTTATAATTAATCTTTTTAGTTATAGGATCATGAAGTCTAAAAGCTTTTATTTCACTATTTTACCCCATAAATATGCATAAAATGCTTTTGTTTGAAGGAACAAAAGCTTTTACTATTTTTTTTTTAAGGAACATGAGAGCAAGTAACACAATTAAATAACTTAAAGTGATTCACATCAGGCTTTCTATCAAACCATGCTTGAGAGAATGTTTTATCTTAAACTATCTTGGTGGGAAAGTGGCTTAGCAAATACATTGGTATGCTGATGGTTTTTGTCAAAAACTCTTTTAGTACTATTTTCTTTTTAAGCATACTCTTTTAGTACTATTTTCTCAATCATAACTCGATTAGTTTCACTTTACTAGTCTATTTTGTTGGGAGGTATAGTTTGTAGTCAATTCACTATGAATGTCTACAATCTTACAAAGATTAACAAGATATTTGGAAGTGAATTTACTCCTTCTATCAGTACCTAGGGTTTTAATAAAATAATTACCTTACTTTTCTACATAAGTTTTAAAAATTTTGAAAATAGAAAAGACTTTAGCTGCTTTTTTATAAAATAATCACCTTCCAGGAATGACTATGCTATTTTCTAAAAACACAATATTCATAAATATTAACTTTGTTTTAAATTTTTGATTTACTAACTATTATATTTTCTAATGTAATAGTTCTAGTCCATCATAATATATATTGTGTCATAGTGACGAATTATCAATAATTGTAATAGAAAGTGCATGTAAGAAAAATCAAAATACAATAAAGAAAATATCTTATTTTTCATCATTCTCATAAACTTTTTTTAATCACTAATCAAATATTTTCATCATAAAAAAGTATAATAATATTTTCTCATCAAACACTCTGCACTAATAAGATTTTATTT